CGTGAGAAACAAGTGGGGAGGGCGTGTGTGTGTGTGGACAAGTCAGCGTGTGATGTGTCTATTACCGGCTCATAGCAAATCAAGCGCGCAATATACCTCGACGGTACGACACAGTGCTGCTGCTGCTGTTGCTGTGCCGCCAGCCTCCGGCCAAAGCCCACTGTGCAGTTATCACTAATCCTCGTACCGTACCGCGACGTGAAACACACAATAGGATGATGCTCCACAAACTACGGCACACGGAAGAGTCACGACACCACAACCGATAGCAACCGACCAGTTAATCGCCCGTACAGCCGAAACAGATTGGTAATCTGCTGGACACATCCCTCAACTCAAATCAACGCACATACTGACACTCGTAATAGTGAAGTGCTCAGCCCCCCTCAGCACCACGACGGGGTGCCGCCGCCGCCACAGCAGCACCAACACGAGCCTCGGGAAGAAGACAACGGAGCCAGGCGCCTCTGCCACCTAGGGAAGAACGATAAAGGGAAAACACAAGCGCGTCAGAGAACGTCCCATTTCCTAGAAACAGCGCACTTACCTCCTTTACCCGTCCGCGAGCCCATAACCTGAGCGGGTAGAAACCCACCGTACGAGCATCAGGCGAGCATGCGGTGGTCGGGCCCTGCATTGCAAAGTCCCGCTTCGCGCAAATAGCGACACGAACAACGGACGCGGAGGTGGGGCTGGCGAGTGGTGCGCTCTTGGCAGCTCCACCTAAGGGACTACTAAAAACGGACACCGGCGAGGCCTTGGCGCTTCTCAACCGTTCCTATCCTTCTCTATCTCACCTCCTATGCACCACCCGCCCTCCTGCGGAAAAACTGCTCCCTGGTGACAGACAGACAGTGCACTCCCGCGCAGGGAAGCGAGAGAGAACTCAGGCCACTACCAGGGAGACCACTTCCGGAATCCTGCTGTGTTTTACGACATGCTACTGCAGGTTTTATTTGAAACCCTTGCACCCGTACCGCAACGTACGTTACTGTAAGGAACCGCACCGTACCGTATGGCATTCATATCCGCGGTACCGTGGCAGCAGTTGCCGGAAGGCGTCGTTGTGGAGCGAGTGCGCGGCGTCCATTACCGCGACGGGCAGCGTTTCCCACAACGAGGTCATTAAACACAGGCACATACTGAGATACACAGCAATCATGCTTGGATGGTGGCTAGCAACGCTAATCCGGACTTTGTTTTAGGGCTGGACACCTTTCCTTAAGGGGTCTGCTCCGCTGCGCTTTGCTACTGTTGCTCCTGCTGTTGCTGCTGCTGCTGCCACCAACCGCCAGCCAAGTACGACTGCATAATCACGCGATACGCGGCGCAGGAAAACACAATCGGCACGGCGACACGAAACATGTAGTACACGCCACGATACGGCACGGATCCATATCGCCGACTTACCGCATGTATCATCTGGAGGGTGCTTGCACCGTAGATACCGCCAAGCGCCGCCGGTCAAAAGGAGGGTACGCGGTTCGGGGAACAGGTGGGGTGGGGCGGGAGGGGATGATATCGTTTGCTTTGCTACTGCTTTGCTGCTACTGCTGCTGTCGCAGCAGACCGCCAGGCAGACATGATTGCACGCTCCCAACAAAATGCGGAACTGAAAACCCTAAACAGTACGACCAACCGCAACGCGCGAGGTATCTTGAAATCCAGGGGCTCATGCAAGGACTGCAGCTCGTGTAGCGCCCAATCGTTGCGCCCTCGGCATTGGTGTTGATATACGGCCGCCGCGCAGCCATAAGGACGTACCA